TCTTAGCTGGACTACTGCCACAGCCATCTAACTCGCCTCCTCCTCCATCCTCAAATTGTACCTGGCATTCAGAGTGATTTATCTGAAACACAGATATGAACACATTATTGGTGTCCTTAAAACTTGTCTCTGGCTTCTAACCACCCACAAAATAAAGTGGAAATTTTGGACTGTGACATAGAAGATCTGCAACATCTGGCCCGTGCCTTCGGAGAACTAAGCAAGTCATTGATTCTCTTGCAAAGAGTGGTACACTAATGAGCTGAAAGATTCCACTGCCTGCATATACTATTCTTCACCTCTATATATTATGTCCTCTTCCCTCTTCTCCTAGTTTTCTTCTAGAATTCCTTTAATACTCAGCTAAGGTGTCTTCTTCACCAAGAAAGGATTGCAAATCTACCGCAATCCCTTGCCCCTGCCATGTTGTATTTTATGCTCTTTTGTGTGTTTCTATAGCTATTATTGCTTGTGTCTCTTTTCATTACCTGCTACTATATGTCTGTATCTTCCACCATATTATAAGCCTTTTGAAGGCAAGAACGGTGTTTTATTCATCTTTATTTTTCCAGAACCTCATACATAGTCAATAAGCATTTGAAGAATAAATTAATCAATAAAATAATCCTAAGACCAATTATATGATTCTAAGACATATATAAATAGCATTTTTGAGGGTTCCAGTAGTATAGCACTTAAACATCAAAGGAAGTAAGTCTGTTTTCAGTTTTGCTAATTGAGTCCATCTATGTCTACTGTATAATATTTGTGGATTTTTTATTTTCAGAAAATCTTTATGTTTATAGTTTCTTCATTCATTGGTTCAAAATCTATTGCAGCCAAGATTTCTCTTCCAAGTTCCAGCTATTTACTCAGTATCTTCATTTGGATATCTCAAGCACATTGCTCTAAATGTGTCCAAACTAAACTCCTTTATCATACCAATTCTTTCTACATTCTTCATAATCTCAAAAATATATCACCACCCTTTCAGCTGTACAAGCAGAAACCTAGCCATGATTTTTGGCTTTTCTCTTTCATTTGCTCCATTTCTTTTATTTAAGCAGTCACCAAATCCAGTCATTCCATCTTCCAGATATATCTCAGCCTAATACACTTCTCCATCCCTGGAGCCATTCTGTTGTTCAAGTATTATTTATCCCACATACTGGACCACTACAGAGGCCTCATAACTGCTCTTTGCAAATCTACTGCATTCCCTTTTTGCCCCACTATGCCTTTGAAACTGATTTTATCAAGATTATCTTTGCTATTACCTTATTGTTAAAAATTTAAAACTGTCTTATCTTCATCTTCACCATTCCTATAAATAGCACCTCTGTCCTTTAAATTGTTCACACTCAAAACCTTGCAGTTGTCTTTGATTTTCTCCCATTCCATATTCAGTCTGCTGGCTAATTATGTTGATTCTACCTTCAAAATTTATCCAGAATCTGACCAGGGCTCCACAACTCATTTATTCAATTCATCATCTCTTACCGGGATTACTGCAATAGCCTCTTACCTAATCTGCCTTGTTTCCCTACAGTATACTTTTAATAGAATAACCAGTTCTATTATGTTCTAAATAGTAACCTTGGGCAGTCAATCCTCTGCTCAAAAGCCTCCCTTGGCTTCTATGCTGTCTGTCATCTAGACTCTGCTACTTTTTGCATATTCTGCTGCTGCTGGCCCAGTCTTCTGGCTGTTCCTCTAGCACCACAAGCTGACTCCTGACTCAGGGTTAGAAAACATACATGGATGAACCTGGAAATCATCATTCTCAGCAAACTGACACAAGAACAGAAAATCAAACACCGCATGTTCTCACTCATAGGCGGGTGTTGAACAATGACAACACATGGACACAGGGAGGGAAGCATCACACAATGGGGTCTGGGGGGGGAAATAGGGGAGGGACAGAGGGGGGTGGGGAGTAAGGGAGGGATAACATGGGGAGAAATACCAGATATAGGTGATGGGGAGGAAGGCAGCAAACCACACTGCCATGTGTGTACCTATGCAACAATCTTACATGTTCTTCACACGTACCCCAAAACCTAAAATGCAATTAAAAAAAAAAAATACCATATTTCTGCCTGGGGCAATTTCTCTTAGCTATCTGCAGATTTGTTTTCTCATGCTTTCTTTTGGTCTCTGTTCAAATGTCCACTTATCAAGAGGTCTTGCCTGATCACCCTATTTAAAATTAATAGAAACTATTCCTCCCTACCCTCTGGTACTCTCTGTCACCTTTCCTTGCCTTCTTTGTCTTCAGAGCAATTACTTGAAGAGCCAGTGCATCTGAAACACCGTGTAGTTTACTTTATTGTCTCGTCCCACAACAGAGAGCAAGGATTTTTGTTCATTTTGTCCATGGCTCTTTCCCCCATTCCAATCAAATGTACCTATCCATTCTTGTCTCATTACAGCTTACTTCCCTATACTTTAGTGTGGGTAAACTTTATATAACTCCAGCATTGTGATGTCATTCTCTTGTTTAAAACCTTTCCATAGCTCTTCATTGTCATTAGAAAAAGGTATAAAATAGCCAGGCGTAGTTGCTAACATCTGTACCAGCACTTTGGGAGGCTGAGGAGAGCGGATCTCTTGAGCTCAGGAGTTTGAGACCAGCCTGGGAAACATAGTAAAACTCCATCTCTACAAAAATATTTAAAAATTAGCTGGACACACACCTGTAACCCCAGCTACTTGGGAAGCTGAGGCACAAGAATCACTTGAGCCCAGGAGGCGGAGGTTGCAGTGAGCTGAGATCACGTCACTGCACTCAAGCCTGGGTGACAGAGAGAGACCCTGTCTTGAAAATGTATAAAAGGCTTAATGTAGAATAATGGTCAGGACCTTTTGTTTATCAGTGACAGGATCTCAATTTAACTTTGGCTAAAAAAGTAATTTACCAAATATCAAAAATTACTCAAATACCAAAAGGCCCAGGGGTTGAGCTGACTTTAGGCATAGCTAGATTCAGGAGTTTAAATGATACATTTGACTTTTTGTCTCTTCTTTCCTCTCCCTCTATCTGTAGTTCTGTTTCCCTTGAGAAGAAGAATAGTATCTTTCATCCTGGTACACATTCCTGCCCCAAGCCTAGCATATTCTTGACAGAAAAGACATTCACTGTTGACTGATAAATATTTAAACTTTCTTTTTCTATTGCCAGATTTAACCACTTACGATACAGTGAAACACTACTTGGTATTGAATACACCACTTGAGGACAATATCATGACTCACGGTTTATCAAGGTAAGTGATTGTTTTAGTTGGACTCTTTCTGAGTTGTTTTTTTTTTTTTTTTTCCTGTATCACTTTTCCATATTTGGCATAAATTCTGTAGACTCATTTGATTGGGATTGTACTGGCATCACCTTTAGAGAAGAGTACATTTACAGTGAGGAATTTCTTAAAGTTTGTTACAGTTAGAATGGGGAAAGAGACAGGCAAAGTTGTAGGATGTTCAGATTAAACCTTCCAAAATATTTGCACCTGATGGGACCATCCCAGGAACAGACTATGATGACGGACTCTCCAACTCAATTCAACAGATATGCTTAAGCACCTTTTATGTTAAAGGCACTGAGCAGGGCTCTGCAGTGGGCACCAAACGGGTTAAACTCAATTCCTGCCCAGGGAACTTACCAACAGTGAAAACAAGACAAATATAAAAACACTCTGCAGGAAATGCTAAAAGGAAGCAACTAATTACTACAGGGTTCAGAGGAAGGAAAAAAAAAAATCAGCACTTGGAAAGATCCACAAAATGCTAAAAGGAAGCAACTAGTTACTACAGGGTTCAGAGGAAGGAGAAAAAAAAAATCACCACTTGGAAAGATCCACAAAGGAGGTAGAAATAGACACAGGTTTTGAAAGGATGTGTTTTCTTCACAGACAGGGACAGGAAGAAGCCCTTTCCAGGAAGGAGCATTGCCTTGATCTCTTTGCAACACAATTTCAAATTATCCATTAGAATTAGTTATTTTATAGATGTGTAGAGTCCTTGACATTATAGTGATTTCATTTAGCTTCTGATCTTGTTTCCAAACTCAAAAATTTCCTATGCTATTTAGATGACCCTAAAAGTAGACAACCCTCAAAGTATATTAATAGTGTCAGGTCAAATATTTGGAGGTAGGAGTGTATGTGTGTTTGTGTGTGTGCGCGTGTGCATTTAACCACTCCAAGAGTATTACTGACTCGGGACTTTTGCATGTACTGTTCTATCTTCTTGTAACATTCTTCCTTCAGGTCTTCACATAGATGTATCCTTTTTAACCACTCAGGTCTGCTGTCACCCCACGAGCTTTTCCTGACTGCCTGTCACCTGGTAGCTCCCTGTCACATTTCCCATTTTTTTGCAGCTTTTCGCAGCTTTTGAAATAATTTATTTCTCTTCTGCCTTTTCCCAAGTGGAGTATAAGCTCCTCAAGGGCAGGGTCTTACCTGACTTGATCACTGCCTAGAAGAACGCTTGGCACTAGCAGGTGCACAATCCCTATTTGCTGACGGACATTCTTTTTGTTTTTGTTTTTTTCTACCTCTTTAATTAATTTGGCATTAAGCTAAAAGAACATTATTATAATATTTAGGTTATTATAATGTTTAGTATTCTTTCTAAATACTAAATTCTAGAAACTACTACATATTATATTTCAATTTCATTTATTTGTATTTGTAGTTTATGTTCTGGACTGGTAGCTTCTATTCTGGGAACACCAGCAGATGTCATCAAAAGCAGAATAATGAATCAACCACGAGATAAACAAGGAAGGTAGGTAAAAAGTCTTCAGTATTCATGTGCTTGAATGTTTGTAATAGCATTGTTCCTTGAAGATGCTTTTCTGCATTTTTTGATAGAAATGTATTTGTGTGTTTTTGAGAAAATTGAGAGCATCGTTTTTATGCAATTACTGCTTTTTGATGAAAGTGACATGCATTTGGGGAGTTAAGCTAATTAACAATCATTTAGACACAAGGTTTTTGTTATGGCTTAATTGTTTTTAAAGACTTTTTGAAAGCATACTCTGCTGAGAATTTACAGAGCATTTTCTTCAGAAGCTTATGATTTGAGTAGGTAACATGGAGAATTTGATTTGATATTAAATAGTATGTTCTCTCTGGAAGAGATCAGATAGAGTGAATTCTGAATATAAGACCAAGGGTGGCATGAATCAGAAGAGTTAACCTTGAAAATTTCTTTAAGATGAAAAGAAGTTATCTGTATCTGTAGAACCACAAATTTTTGTTTCTAAACTAGCAGAAAATACTTAATTTTTAATAAGATTCCTTAGACAATATTATTTTATGTATACATATTTTTAACACAGAAAATAATTAACAAAAGGATCTTATTTCCTTTGTAGGGGACTTTTATATAAATCATCAACTGACTGCTTGATTCAGGCTGTTCAAGGTGAAGGATTCATGAGTCTATATAAAGGCTTTTTACCATCTTGGCTGAGAATGGTAAAGTTAGGTTTACTTCCTTTGTGTGTTGTTGTTTTCTTTTTTTGTACTTAAATTACTTTTAATCTATAAGCATTTTCCCTTTTCTCTTCTGGCCTGAAGCATGGCCCTGCCCCTCAAATCAAGGTCCTTTCTTATTTTTTAAATCTTCTTTTATTTCCTTTCACCTCTCCTCAGTTATCTTGCCTTCTGTGGTAGAGTAAGGTAAAATAAGTTACATCCGTTAATGAACAGGTTGATAGTCTTGTTACAAAGCTAGTGAATAGATTTTTGGTAATGTAAAATTTTTAGTATTCCATATAGTTATATTTTAATACAGTATTTTGGGACACATATACAGATTTTACACTAGAGACTGCTCCTACAAAAGAAATTTACTATTTCAAAAAAATTTGTTACTTTGATGGCAAATGTTACATTACCCATTAATATTTATTACCACAAAACTCTGCTTAATAAGAAAGCATTATGTCATTTTTATTTGATTGAGATGTTATTTTTCATTGCAGTGAACTAAGATATAGAATTAGATTTGTTTAAGCAATATAGCAAATATAATAAAAACAAAGTGCTGACACTTTTTGTAAGTTAAAACATTTGAAAGCATGGGTGAGTTATAGGTTTAGAAATGCAAGCAATCAAAAATTAACACAATATGATACAATTATATATAATGTAATATTATATATATATTTTTTAATTGAGTACCTATATCATGCAAAGGCCTGTACTGAAGTCTCAGCTTTCAATAAGAAACTATAAGTGATGAATGTTATGGGAAGAGTACATAGTGCTATCGAAATATATAGCAAATAAGTACAGCCTAGGCTGGCAATTAAGAAAACCTCCCTGGAGAATGGACTTCTGAATTTAGATTTGCAAAATGGGTGGGACTTAGCCAGGTAAAGAGGGCAGGGAGAAACATTCTCTATAGAGGGACAGTTGGAGTGGACAGAGAGCAGGACGAGTTCAAGGAAACCAGGCAGGCCAAGGCACAGAGACCTCAGAGAGAGAGGCAAAGGGGGAGACCAGAGAAATGCAGACACCACACTGGGAAGGGTCATATGAGCCAGAAGGGTAATGGGTACCGGTTTGAAGAAATAAGCATTTTTAGAAAATTTGTTCTGCCTGTCGTGTGGATTGGGAAAAGGCTAAGAGTAGTGACATATTAGAGATAATGGTGGCTTGGACAAGCGTATGACAGTGGGGACAGAAGATGGATTAAAAACATGTTTAGGAGGTGGAAAGGGAACAGAAACATGACTGATTGGATGGGGATGGGAGAATGGTTGGAGGAGACAAGGAAAAGTCAGACTTCATCCCCAAGATTCCTGCTCTGAGCAACTGATAATGATATAATTTCCTAAAATGAGGATCATTGCAGGAAAGAAGATTTTGGGGTAAAATAAGGTCAGTTTAAGACATGTGAAATTTTGGATACCCATAGGACATCCGAGCAGAGATGTGTAGATGACAAACTAAGTATATTGGTCTAGGTCTTAGAAGAGAATACACGGGTAGAGATTTAGATTTGAGTATTTTCTACATATAGATGGTAATTGAAATGTTGGTAATAAATAATATCAAAGGAATAGTAGGTCTTTGTTTATTAATATGAAATTCATAGTCAAAGCCCTTGGCAATACCTGAGTTTAAGTATACCAGAGTTTATTTTTTGGTGGTTTTGATTATACCTTGAAATTATATCAAAACTGTGGCTCTTTCTTACTGGAAAGGTAAATTTTGATTTGGTCTGCATACACTAGGTGCTGTTATACGTACTGATAACACTGAGGAATAACATAGTCTTTGCACTAGAAGAGCTTACAATGAGATTAGAAGTTAAACATCTAAGTAGTTAAAATTACAGAAATAATAAAAATTACTAAATAAATACTACTGAGTCACTTGGTATATGGCCAACACTGTTAATCATTTTTATGGCTTAACTCATTGAATTCTCCCAACAATCTGTGTAGTAGGTTACTAACATATCCCTCTTTTATAGAGGAAACAAAAGCATCAAGAGTCTAAATAGCTCGGCTACGTGAGTGGTTCAGGGCATCAAACCCAGACGGCCTGACACCAGATAACACAGCCTTATTAAATGGTATAAACAGTACTCTGTTCATATAACTCACCTGTTCATGCCACTGGTATGAACAGTACTCTGTGGGAACACAGATAGTGGAGTAGAAATGGTTATGACCATATTTGGGAAGTCGCAAGAGGCTTCACAGAGTTGATATTTGATCTGGGCTTTGAAGCATCAATAGGTGTTTGTCAAGAGAAATATAAGAGTGCAACATGAGCATAGGTATCATGTCATATATAGGCCTGTTATGTTTGAAGAACTACAGATAATTCAGTCTGCTTGAAGAATAGGTCCTTATAGGGGAGGTAGTAGAAGATAAGGCTAGAGAATTACTTAAGGACCAAGTTGGGAAGAACTTTGTGGGCCAAGCCTAGTGGTTTAGATGAACTCTATGGAACACCTGCTTAAACCTGGGAGCAATGTGCTAATATTTGTTTGAAGGCAAGATTACTTTGGCAGTAGTACAGAAGATATATTGAAAGCTAGGATATAAGAAAGGAAGTTTTGGCAATGGTCTAACCAGTTAGATCATTGTAGAAATTGAGAGAAATAAATTTTAGGCACCTTTATGGTTAACTCCACAGGACTTAGTAACTGATTATATGGGGAAGGTGAGGGACAGAAAAAAGCAAATGAGATTTCTGTTTCTGATGCAGGAAACTAGGAGAATGAGTGAGACCACTGCAGAAACACAAAATCAGGGTCAAGAGGGATGAGAGGCAAGGAGAATAGGTAAATACAAAGGATGGGCCCACTTTGTTTAATCCTTAGTCTTTATACATATGTCTCAGGAAGTATAAATGACTAAAAGAGTACTTAACATGTACAAAGCTCTACATACATTATTTTTTAAAACCATATAAGAACCTAGCAAAACAAGTAGTGTTATCCTCATTTGTCAGATAAGAAAATCATGGCTCAAAGCATAAGAAGCTTGCCCAAGTTCATGTAACTAGTATGTGGCAGAGCTGGGAATTGACCTCAGGTCTGTTCCACTCAAAATCCTATGCTCCTTACTAATACAATATGCTGATATGCTCAACATTCTGCAGCTAGCTACAGAAATTTTAAAAGTGAAGAGACATTCCTAGCAGTGGAGGATTATTTGAAGAAAGGCTGGCTAACCACCAGAGATCACCAGGGAGTGACTGCCTTGTTGATTTGCCAAAGTGCATGACCCTGAGCACAGAAACCTAACTCATGGGCACGTCCATGTAAATTGGCCTTGAAAATACAGATTTGATGATCAGGCCACAATATTTGGCTCATTCACATTGCACAACACATTTGGCAAGTGATCTAGATGTTCAAGTCCTCTGGCCAATGTGTTTTCTCCTAAATTCAAGCTATATGGGTACTCAAGTAATAATCAGAAGATTACTTAACACAGAATCAGAACAGAAAGAGCTTAAAAACTTAATCCAAGAGAGCTTTTATGTGTTCCACTCCACAGTAGGAGGCATGAAAAGGGACTCTGCTTCTGCTTTTTCTCCAGCCTTATGGCAAAATGTAGACCAAAAGAAACAACATGGGTTCATATACACTTGGATTATTTGCAATGCTCATAGCTGTATTAGTGAGAAAATCAGCAAGCAAGCATAGTGCCCACATGCGCTACTCCTGTACAGAGGCCTGGTAAATCCCATTTCTATACCACCCACATTCTTTGGCTATATGATCAGCCACTCTTTAACTCTATTCAAAACCAGCTAAACTCTATCCTGATCCTTTCCACTGGATAGAGGTACTATGATCTTGCTTTGCTTAGTCCCTGATTAGTATTTATTTCATTTGCCTATGGATTTTGTTGCTATAATGTCATTAACATGAAAAAGAAGATTGATTACCACAGCAATTAAGAATGATTGCATAGGGATTCTTAACTAAGACCTCTACCTTCTTCATCCAACTCCAGTTATACTGGCTTGCTTCCTTTTTATTGTCACAAGAATACTGTATCATCATAGCTTTATATTCCTTATTTCATCTATGTTATCATACCTTTAACCAAGATATAGTCTCCTAAATCCACTATTTAGTGAATTCCCAGTTTACTAATATAACATGCTCAGTATTTCCAAACAAATATGAGATAAATACTGCTTTACAGACAAAACCAAATACATTTTATTTTCTAGTTGCTTAAGCTTATTTCTCTACTGCAGAATGATAGAGTTCCTCTCTGTTCAATTTTTATTAGAACTGAACAGGACAGGTATTATTAGATCCAAGGAACTCTTTCTCTGTTCCAGTGTTTACCCTGTGATTTCCCTCTATATCTTTGCTGTTTACACCTTTAGCATTTATGTCTTCTTCTCACCCTTATTCTTTTATAATTCCTTTAGATGTAGTTATACCATCATTCAAGTTAAAGACAAGCCCTTCTGAGCTGGAAGTGCTTTTCTCTATTTAATTGAATTTTTATATAAATGTTGTGAGACATCAGGTGTTAGTCTTATGACTTAAATCTCCAAGGATAATCTCACCTTCCTCACTTTCAAGTTCTTAAGTGACTTAATGTCATGCTCCATATACAAACTAGATATCGGGAAGCCT